AGAAAAGAGAGAGAAAGGAAAAATAAATAAATATTAAGAAGAAAAAAGAGAGAGATAGAGAGAAAAGAATGAGAAACAAACAGAAGCGTGGAAGAATGAGACGGTGAGAATAAAGTAAGATCATTTTTTTGTTGCAAATCGGTTTTTTATTTATTTTTAACTGTTTAAAAATTAATTCAGACTTTGGATATTTTCCCCAGACACTCTTTCTTTCTCTTTCTCTCTCTCTCTCTCTCTCTCTCTCTCTCTCTATCTTTCTCTCCCTCTCTCTTTAACAATTTTTTCAAATATTTATATAAATAACTGTAGATCTTGATGCATGTTTCAAACAAACAACAAAAAACAAGTTTGTATATTGTAATATTCGTAGGTAAACATAAAATTAGAAAATAAAATTCATTTGTTTTTTCATCCATCAATTCATTCATATATTTTTATATATGTATATATATTTATTTTATAACTTTACCTAAACGCGCGTAGAATAATGAAATAAATGTAGTAATCTTGGCAGAGTCAAAAATTAAAAAATTTCCTAACAAATGGCCCAAAATGTAATGTTTTAATAAACCGATACATAAAACTTATCCTAAGCGAATAAAGCTTTCTTAAGGGGTTCGTACTTGGTGAACTGAAAGAAAAGTTTAAATCTTTTGTTAGTTTTAACTCTCTTGATTGTGTTGTTATCATTGTCATGATCCACATGGTCATCGTTATTGTCCCTGGCCTAGAACCTGGTGAGAGTTAGGTTGCACCAACGTACCGGAGATCGTGAAAATCTCAATTCTGTCCTGTGTCCCCTCCGAATCCACTTTAACCGGATCACGTGCCCATGGCTGGATTTCCGCCGACGCCAGGACGCAGTAGAGGACTGCACCCACCACGCACACCACCGCTGTTATCAAAAAGACAATACGCCAGGATTCCCTGGATTGCTGTGTAGAGGGATGGTTTTTTGTGTATTCGTTTGTTTTTTCGTTCGAATAGTTGTTTATTTGTTTGACTATGTGTTTGTTTGTTTTGTGTGTAAATACGTGAAGGCCTGTTTGTGTGTTTATTGAAATAAAAAAGTTTTTCTACGTTTAATTTGATGAATTAAACATAAAAATATAAGAAAATTAGGCAAAAAAATAATTTAAATGAAATGTCAGGAAGAAACGACATCAGTAAAAACTCACATCCATCGTGACGTAAGCGTTAAGAGTGGTAGCCAAAAATCCGGAACATGCTGAAAACAAATCAACAAGTTTCATAAGGGTGCTAGCGTATCGAGGGGCTATATCCGTGTGGTTGATCCGGCAACCACAATAGACTAAACTACCGACGAACACAGCGAGAGCCAGGAGTAACACAGCCACCGCTTTCTGCGTGTAGTCCATGAAGGAGAGGCCGATGAGGAGGAAGGCTGGTCCGACCAGGCCTGGGTTGATTTTAAAAATGAGTTTTGGTTTTGTTGTAATTTTTGTTGGTGATGGTGTTGTTGCTATTATTATCGTTTTTTGTTTGTTGTTGGTGTGAATGTTATTGTTGTTGTTAACCACATGCAATGAATGTTAAGCGTGAATTAACGATCGTTCGTATGCGTTGCGTGTGTATGCTGACACCTCTGGAAAAAAATAAACAAAAAGAAGAAAAACCAAAAAATTATAATTATAATAATAGGCCACACCCCAAAAACAAACGAACCAAGAAATGTAAATATTTTTCTCGTAGCCACCGTGCTGAGCACCTCCGACGACTTCAACTTTTCAGCAATCTTTGGCATTATGATCATAGGAAGAAACGAGCTCAGGAATGGCAGAGCTGTCAAAAATCCATTCTGTGGAATTCGAGGGGTGTTAAGTTAATTTTTTATTTATTTATTGTTCATCATAAACGTTGTAGATCAGACTAACTGGCGGATAAATTCAAAATGTAATAAAATAAATACACGAGTGTGTGTATCTATGTGAGTGTGTGAGTAGTAATACAAGTACTAGTTTTTCCAGCAGCACAGCTAAAAAATATACAAAAAAACATTAAAAAAAATGCATGAAAAATATACAACAACATTCAAAAATATACCAATAAATAGAAGAAAAAGTGAAAAATACAAAAATTTACATCAAAATACCACAAAGTAAAAAAAACCACAACAAAATACAAAACAGAATACAAAAAGTATACATCAAAATACCAAAAAAATACAAAAATATACATCAAAATATCACAAAGTAATAAAAGTACAACAATGTATACAACAGAATATAAAAAATATACATCAAAACATTAAAAAATATACTAATTGCATACTCACAGAGCTAATATCGAAGAAAAGGACCTCCTTGTAGAACGTGGGTATGTTGGTAAGGTAGGTATTTAGGACCCAATCTGTGCTGAAGTTTGCAAAGAAGATGGCCCAGACGGGGCCGGACTTGAAGATTTTTGACCACGGTACTTTGAATAACTGTTGGAATGTTTGAGTGTGTGTGTGTGTGTGTGCATGTGTGTGTGTTGATGTATGTGTGTGTGGGTTTGAAAGTTTGTTTGTGTGTTTGTTTGAATGTCTGAGTGTTTGTTTGTATGTTTGTTTGTATTTGTATGTTTGTATTCAACTCACATTAGTACAAGTATATCTGTACCTCTCCTCATTCGACATTTTTGGAATCCATACAATTATCATTATTATGCAGACTGAAGACGACATACCTGTTTGTTTGTATTTTTGTTTGAACATTTTTAATTTGCAGTTTGATTGATAAATGTTTAAGTACGTTTGACGGCAAACATGTTTAAAAATAAACGCAAAAAATTTTCATGTCTATTATCTTTATCGTTTAAAAGTAACCAACAAAATGAAACTTGCCAACAAAACGAAACTAACCAATAATATAAAATAAGGAATCCCAACCCTGAGAAAACCCATATTGGCAGAGCAAACCGGAAAAAAAAAAGACTATTGCATTACTTATCATGGCACCTGATTGGTTGGTTGATTGATTGATTATTGGTTGATGATTGGTTTTTTTATAACGATTGTGATCACCATCATCACATATTCATTATCATTAAACAAACAAACAGACCCATTATCACCAGCACTCCAATCTTCATCATTACCACCACCATCATCATCAACATCATCAACATACTAACCGATATAGGTCAGCCCACTTAGTGTTAATCTTTTAAAGTAGGGTAACCTACATAGTGTTTCAAAGTTGGGTGACCACTGGTCCCAAATTGCGTGCATGGTTGCATACAGAACGCCCTATTTATTATTATAATTATTGTTGTTGTTGCTGTCTTGTTGTTGGTGGTAGTGGTGTTGTTCTTGTTGTTTTTGTTGTTGTTCAAGAACTTTGATCGAAATTTTCAACATTTCATTGTTACTTTTTTATTACAACGACTTTATCATATTGGCTTCTAATATTCATAAAGTTAATCATCGCCGTCGTAGTAATACTATTAGTAGCAGTAGTAGTAGTAGTAGTAGAAGTAGTAGTAGTAACACACACACACACATACACATAGATACACACATACACATAGATACACACACACACAAACATAGATGCATAGAAACAAACAAACACACACACATGCACACATATACAAACACACACACATGCGCACCATTGTTATTATTATTACACTATTATTATTACAATATTATCATTGTTAGATAAATTTTCGGACCAAAAGATTAAGGTTGCCGTTAATAAATGAAAAGAAATATAAACAAAAATGAAAAATTTCAAAATCAAACTGAAATCAAACAAAAAAAGCCCAACCTACCGAACCAATTCCGCAGAGCACCCTAAGGAAAATCAGCAGCCCGATGTGGATGTGCGCGGCCACTGGGGTCAGGAGCACAGCAAGAGTGGAAAGGCCCAGCGATCCCACCAACACCCATTTGCCGCCAAACTGTTCCGCCAGTAGCCCGCCAAAAATTAGAGACACAAGGTACCCGTAGAAAAATGAACTGAGTATGTGGCCTTGCACGCTTTTTTCCCATACAAACGGGCCATCCTTTGGTGTGTGTGTGTGTGAATGTGTGTGTGTGAATGTGTGTTTAAAATTATGTGTGTGTGTGTGTGTGTGTGTGTGTGTGTGTGTGTGTGTGTGTGTGTGTGTGTGTGTGTGTGTGTGTGTGTGTGTGTGTGTGTGTGTGTGTGTGATATTTGTGTATGCTTATATATACATATATAAATTTGTGTATATTCATATCACTGAAAATGACAAAATATTAATATTTCGTTCAGTTTTGAATTTGAGTTTTGAGTTTTCATGTTGTTTGTTGTTTGTTTTTTATTATGTTGTCGTATGTTTTTGTATGTTTTTATGATAAACTAAACGTGAGAATTTCAATCATTGTAATTATGATGAAAAGTTTAAAACATCAACATCAACAAAAACACAACATCCAAAACCAACCAAAACGGCTTTCGTCTCATTAGTCTGGTTGACCATGCCTACAATCGCCTCAGACATCCCGATCCTATGGGCACACAGGTTGAAAAACATGAAGCACACAACAAACGCGAGAATTGAGCAGCACCGCTGGGAATTTTGGACTGCATCTGGTTTTAATAATTATAATTATTACACTTAATATAATTGAAATAATTATAATTATTATTATGATATAGTAGTTTATTTTTATTACACCAACTCCTCCCGTACCATCATCCCCTTTCCACCACAACTTATATCTTCCACCTTTAGCCCCCACAAACCTTGTACCTTCACCCTTCCATCTGATCTCCTGTAATTCTCCTCTGCAGCTCCTCCACCACTTCCAAACTTCTTCCTGTCAACGTGCCTACATTCCAGGTACCAAACCTCCAACCCCTTGGTCTACAAGTAGTCATTCCATCTATAGTGCCTCGCACCGCCACACTATAGAGTGGGGTGCCAGTAGCCAGACCATCCACAGGGCCTTGCACCACAACCCCATAGACTGGGTCTCCGGAGATTCTTCGCACCCTCTTCTGCCGGATATTGAGGGCCATTGTTATTTCCGTCATCATAAGTATTATTTTTTGGCTAGTTTTTACGAAGGACACCCTTCCTTATGCAACCACAGTTATAAGCGGTGGGCCTAGCCTTTGATGATCCAACATCACTCACAAGGCAGTGAGGGTCAGTTTAATGTCATAACCAGGACACATAGATTGGAATCATACAAATCTCATTTTTCAAAATATTCTTTCCGATTAACCAAGCGTAATTTATTTTTTATCCAGACCACAAAGTTTGTGACGGGTTCCCGCAACTTTGCAGTTCTTGGCCCGGTTGTTTGGAATGGTTTACCTAACCATGGCCCTAACGTGACTCTAACCTATCATATTTGCAATTTCGAAGTCTTATTTATTTGCACAATGAATGTTAGTCTGATTTGTCTATGATTTAGTAGCGCTTTTGAGATTCAACAATAAAAAAGCGCTGTATATAAATTTCCATAATAATAATAATAATATCAAATCAATCAATCTTCGTTTAGCATCCATAAGGTTGAACCGCAGACATTTGTTGCCATGTACAGAAGTACTGATGTTAGTATTATAAATAAGATGATAATGTTGACAGAGATGGGCAGTAATTTAATTCAAGTAATGAAATTACGTAATTCAAATTACAATTGTAATTTGTATCGAAATTAAACTACAAAACAATTACCTGGTCTTATTCCTGTCTCTTGATCATTTCTCATTTTTTGATTTTATCGATCTCTTACGCCGAAAAAACCTTCAAAATGAAAAAAATTTGTTAATCAACTTAATAATAATAATAACAACAATAACATGATCGTGTTCAAACTTCATAGAGGTACTAATTAAATCATATGTCTGACATATTGATTGAAAAAATAATTAAATTACATTAATCGCTTGATGACGACTGCAAAGGATAATAAAATGAATTCATTATATATCGACCCCTTCCTACCACTCCTTCAACCTCAAACTCCAATGCTCGCCTAATCCCGAACCTTTCATCCCTTCTCAACACATGTAGTACTCGGTCCTCGGTACTCGACCAGCCTTTTCTAGATCCACAAAACACATGTACAATCTTCGTTTCTTCTTTCTATAATTCTCCCGCAACATTCTCACTATGAACAACTATGAACCCTAACCCTAACCCTTACCAGGCATAAACCCACACTGCATTTCATTAACTGTCACCATATTTCTCAACCTTCTTTGAAGCACCCTCATAACTACCTTCATTCCATGCTCTAGCAATTTCACACCCCTATATGACCCACAATCTCTCACTTTTCCTTCGCCCAATCCTCAGGTATACTTTCATCATCAAACATACTGTTAGCAATTCTTATCATAACTTCAATTAATAATATAAATAAAAATTATTACAATTAATTAAGCAAGTTAATCTTTAATGTAAAATAAAATGAATTTATTATAATTATATAAATTAAAATAAATAAATATATTAATATTTTATTCAGAAATAAAAATAATAACCTGTATATTACAATCAATTAATCACCTTTCGCAGAGCAGAGAATGAAAGTATTGTGCAGACAGATTAGACCTGTACCGAAATTTGCATAGGCTAAAAAAATTCGTCCTAAGATTCAGCGAAAACATAAACTTTTTTAAAACATGAATTTTGTAACATATAGGCTAAAAAAATTCGTCCTAAGATTCAGCGAAAACATGAACTAAAAAAATTTTTTTAAAACTATTTATGAGCAAATACAGCAAACTAGTATGCACTACAGGATGTTCTTAAATTATGTGCTTATATATCTCTCTCTCCTGCCACAAACCTGTGCCACAAACCTGTTGGTTCATGGTGATGGTGATTCTTTAAAACTGAATGATCATGATCTAACAAGTCATTGTTGGCACTTCAAGTGCCAACAACTTGAAGTGCCAACAAAGTCATTGTTGGCACTTCAACTTGAAGTGCCACAAACCTGTAGGTTCATGGTGATGGTGATTCTTTAAAACTGAATGATCATGATCTAACAAGTCATTGTTGGCACTTCAACTATGTGAGTGAGTGCGTTTGTGTGTGCGTGTGTGTTTAATTACAATTGAATTATATAACAGGAAAAGCGAACACAGACACACGCACACACACACACACGCACGCACGCACACGCACACACATGTACACATATATGAAAAAAATTTCTCGTTCATTTTAAAAAAAATTTAATTTCACTCGGCAACTGAATTTGCATTTGAGTTAGTCGCGTCAACAATTCAAATTAAGTTCATTCCTCGGCTTTATAGATGCTTTGTTATCATTTATAAATTTCGACCTTTGGGTTTATAAACATAAACAAACAACAACAACATCCTCAAATACGCAATTTGACGTCATAAACAACGATAAATCAACATGAACAATAGCGTCGCGAACAACAATAACAACGCTAAAACAATAACAGTGAATTAGAGAAACAAAATCAACAACTACAACAACTACTACAACAACAACAACACAACAACAACTACAGCAACTGCAACAACTACGACAACAACATCTACAACAACAACAGCAACGAAATTGACGATAATAATGACAAAAGAAAAACCAGTAGAACAGCAACACTAACAACTACAACAGAGAAAAATATATATCTCAGGTTGATATCAGATTTGATTGCAAATAATTTTACAATAGGGGTTAAGGGTTAATGATATCCTTCTCTCTAGTGACAATAGTAATCTTACTCTTCTTCTTGCTCTTGACTTTTCTTCAGCTTTTGATACTGTTGACCATACTATTCTCTTGAGACTGCTGCATCTTTCTTTTAATATTACTGATTCTTGTCTATCTTGGTTTTCTTCTTATCTCTGTAATCGTTTTTCTTCTGTTGTTCTCAATAATTCTACTTCTAACTCCTCTACTCTTACTTTCGGGGTACCTCAGGGTTCTATCCTTGGCCCTCTTCTATTTATACTCTATACTTCTGAACTACCTCGTATTATTAATAACTTTTCTTTCTCTAGTCAACTATATGCTGATGATTCTTATATCTATACTTTTTTTTCTTCATCTAATCTCAATAGTGTTCTTCATAATTTATCTCTATGTCTTTCTTCGATTATCGCTTGGTCTGATTCTATGTGTCTTAAACTTAATCCTTCTAAGTTTGAATTAATTTGTTTTAATAAATCTAAACACTCAATTACTATTCCTCCTATTATCTTACCTGATTCTAAAACTCTTGATGTCTCTCATAAGTTTCATAGTCTAGGTTTTATCTTTGATTCTACTATGTCTCTCTCTTCTCAGATTAATAGTGTTGCTAGAAGCTCTTACTTTCATCTACGTAGAATAAAAAAACTTTTGCCTTTTCTTGACGATCCTGCTCTTTTCCTTCTTGTTACTTCGTTAGTCTTATCTGGGATTGATTATTGTAACTCGCTCTACTATGGTCTTCCTGACTCTATACTCTATCCTTTAAGTAAAGCTTTTAACTCTGCTGCTCGTCTAGTTGCTCGTGCCCCTTTCTTTTCTCATATATCACCATATCTTGTTCTCCTGCACTGGCTACCTATAAAATATAGAATAATTTTTAAAATTTGCACGTTCATGTATAAGTCTCAATCTAAATTATTTCCTAAGTACTTATCAGATATATTAATTGAACCTAAACGCCCCGGTTTACGATCGTCTTCTTCTTCTCACTTTTTCTTAACTCGTGTTAAACACTCTTTTGCCAAATCTGCTTTTGCTTTTTCTGGTCCTTTTCTCTGGAACTCTCTACCTACTTCTCTAACTACTTCTTCATCACTTGCGAAGTTCAGAGCGGATCTCAAGACCCATCTGTTTTCAAAATTCATTGAGGAGCGCTGTTGAACATCGCGGAAATAGCGCTTTATAAGCTAATTGATTGATTGATTGAAGGGCTTCTTTGTTTGTCCGTTCGTTCGTTTTTTCGTTCGTTGTTTGTTGGTTTGTTTGTTTGTTTACAGAATAAAAACATATCATATCCTAACATCAGGTTACCAGCACCATTAACTTTTCAACTCCAAATAACAGAAACAACAAAAACCATCTCTCTTTTAAATAGAACAGAAATAAAAACAAAAGAACAAAAAAACGAATAAAAAAACAAACCAACAACACCAACAACAACAACAACAACAATAATAATAATAATATCTATATCTTTATTTTTTCCGTATTAATTTTATTTAAGACATCTCCTAAATCACCAAAATTATGATTTTAGCAACGCAAATAGCCTGACTTGTTTTATTGTTTTCTGTTTTGACAGTCTCGCAACTAATGCAAGTGCTAATTTTTCTAGCATACAAAAAATATGCAGAAAAACATACAAAAACATAGAAGAAAATGCATAGAAAATATACAACAACATACAAAAATATACCAAAAAATACAAGAAAAAGTGAAAAAATACAAAAATATACATCAAAATACCGCAAAGTAAAAAAAACAACAACAAAATACAAAAAATATACATCAAAATAGATAGAAAGAACGAGAAAAGAGAGAGAAAGGAAAAAGAAATAAATATTAAGAAGAAAAAAGAGAAAGTGAAAAAATACAAAAATATACATCAAAATACCGCAAAGTAAAAAAAACTACAACAAAATACAAAAAATATACATCAAAATAGATAGAAAGAACGAGAAAAGAGAGAGAAAGGAAAAAGAAATAAATATTAAGAAGAAAAAAGAGAGAGATAGAGAGAAAAGAATGAGAAACAAACAGAAGCGTGGAAGAATGAGACGGTGAGAATAAAGTAAAGATCATTTTTTTGTTGCAAATCGGTTTTTTATTTATTTTTAACTGTTTAAAAATTAATTCAGACTTTGGATATTTTCCCCAGACACTCTTTCTTTCTCTCTCTCTCTCTCTCTCTCTCTCTCTCTCTCTCTCTCTCTCTCTCTCTCTTTAACAATTTTATCAAAAATAAAAAGCATTTGAAAGATAACACACCCATGATCATAACTGAATAATAAATGTTAGTTGTGTTGAAGTTTTGTTTAATAAACAATCAAAAGTAAATCATATATCTATAATATATGATTCAATCAGATCACCAAATCATATATTTATAATATATGATTCAATCAGATCACCAAATCATATATTTATAATATATGATTCAATCAGATCACCAAATCATATATTTATAATATATGATTCAATCAGATCACCAAATCATATATTTATAATATATGATTCAATCAGATCACCAAATCATATATTTATAATATATGATTCAATCAGATCACCAAATCATATATTTATAATATATGATTCAATCAGATCACCAAATCATATATTTATAATATATGATTCAATCAGATCACCAAATCATATATTTATAATATATGATTCAATCAGATCACCAAATCATATATTTATAATATATGATTCAATCAGATCACCAAATCATATATATTTATTTGCGTCATTATTTCTTCAATTAATCTTTGTTCGTTTATTCATTCGTTCATTCATTCATTCAATCAGTCAGTCATTCGTTTATTCATTTGTTCATTCATTCATTCATTCATACATGCATTCATTCATTTGTTGCTTAATAATCAAATGAAACTTAACAGGGCACTACATTAAATCAGGCTGTGATTTCAATGTAAATAATAAAGTAATCACATCAAAAGAATAACACTTAATTAAGAATTAAATAAACAATAAATCATATAATTAATTAAATAATTTGTATTACGTTTTACAAAAAAAACCATTTAGTTCATTTAATTTTCAATTTAATAATAACTAAATTATTTTACTCCAATTAATTAGTTAGACTAACACTCTTAACTAGGTAGGCACAACACTAAGCAAGCATAGTACGTATGTGTGTGTGTGTGTGTGCTTGTGCGTGTGTGTGCGTGTGTATGGTGTGTGTGTACGTGTGTGTAGAAGTAAATTAAACGTTATAACATGATATAGTAGAAGATCTATAATAAAGATCTGATAAAAAATATTTATATAATTGTATAAATGTATATATAACTGTAGATCTTGATGCATGTTTCAAACAAACAACAAAAAACAAGTTTATATATTGTAATATTCGTAGGTAAACATAAAATTAGAAAATAAAATTCATTTGTTTTTTCATTCAAATTCATTCATATATTTTTATATATGTATATATATTTATTTTATAACTTTACCTAAACGCGCGTAGAATAATGAAATAAATGTAGTAATCTTGGCAGAGTCAAAAATTAAAAAATTTCCTAACAAATGGCCCAAAATGTAATGTTTCAATAAACCGATACATAAAACTTATCCTAAGCGAATAAAGCTAGTTTTTACATATATGTGTGTGTGTGTGATTGTGCGTGCGTGTGTGAGTGTGTGTGTGCTTGTGCGTGCGTGTGTGTGTGTGTACTCTCTATTATTTTTTCATTATTATTGTCAATAACATTTTTATTCTCTTAAACAAAAAAAAAGTTAAACCAGAAAAATAATCAAACGATCGCCTTACTACAACTCCCACGATAACATTCCAACTACTCCAACTTTGGATACACTCCCATTCCGACAAAGTTCCGACCTCACTTCCGACTAACTGACGACATTATCCGCATCTTTCTTAAGGGGTTCGTACTTGGTGAGCATGGGTTGCGTCATCGCGCCATTTTCGATGGGAGTAGCGATCTTGTAGATCCCATTTCCGTTCTGTTTCTCCTCCAAATCCACTTCAACCGGATCGAGTTGGTCCCGTGCCCATGATTGGATTTCCGCCGACGCCAGGACGCAGTAGAGGACTGCACCCACCACGTACACCACCGCTGCTATCGAGAAGACGATCTGCCAGGATTCTCTGGATTGCTGAGTAGAGGGATGGTTTGTTTGTTTGTTTGTGTGTTTGTTCGTTTGTTTGTTTGGAAAGTTGTTTATTTGTTTGTCTATGTGTTTGTTTGTGTGTTTGTTTGTGTGCTTGTTCGTTTGGAAAGTTGTTTATTTGTTTGTCTATGTGTTTGTTTGTTTTTTGTGTAAATACGTGTGTTAAACCAAACTTTGTTGAAATAAAAAGTTTTTCTTCGTTTAATTTGATAAATCAAACATAAAAATATCAAAAAATAAAGCAAAAAAAAACTAATTTAAATGAAATTGAAAACGACATCTGTAAAAACGCACATCCTTCGTGACATAAGCGGCAACATTGGGAGCCAAAAATCCGGAACATGCTGAAATCCCATTGGTGAGTCCCATAAGGGTACCTGCGTATTGAGGGGCTATATCCATGTGGTTGACCAGATAACCAGAGAAGACGAAACCACTGACGGACACAGCGAGGACCAGAAGTACCACAGCCACCGCTGTCTGCGTGCAGTCGATGAAGCTGAGGCAGATGAGGAGGATGGCTGGCCCGACCAGGCCTGGGTTGTTTTTGAAAATGGGTTTTGGGTTTGTTGCTGTTGGTGTTGTTGTTGGTGTTGTTGTTGGGTTTGTTGTTGGTGGTGGTGTTATTATTATCGTTTTTTGTTGTTGTTGTTGTTAATTTTATTGTTGTTGTTGTTGTTGTTGTTGTTGTTGTTAACCACATGCAATGTATGTTCAGCGTGACACTTCTGAAAAAATTAACAAAAAGAAGAAAATCTAAAAAAATTATTATAATAATTATAATAATAAGCCACACCCCCAAAAACAAACGAACCAATAGTATTGAATATTTTTCTCGTGGCCACCGTGCTGAGCACCCCCGACGACTGCAACTTATCAGCAATCACTGGCACTATGTTCATAACCGCCCACAAGCCCAGGAATGGTAGAGCCGAGAAAAATCCATTCTGTGTGATTCGAGGGGTGTTCAAGTTAATTTTTAATTTTTTATTGTTCATCATAAACGCTGTACATCAGACATCAGACTAACCGGCGGATAAAATTAAAATAAATACGCGAGTGTGTGTATCCATGTGAGTGTGTGCGTTTGTGTGTGCGTGTGTGTTTAATTACAATTGAATTATACAATAGGGAAAGCAAACACAGACACACGCACACACACACACACGCATGCACGCACACGCACACACATGTAAACATATATGAAAAAAATTTCTCGTTCATTTTAAAAAAAATTTAATTTCACTCGGCCACCGAAATTTGCATTTGAGTTAGTCGGTTAAACAATCCAAATTAAGTTCATTCCTCGGCTTTATAGAGCCTTTTTTATCATTTATAAATTTCGCCCTTTGGGTTTATAAACATAAACAAACAACAACAACATCCTCAAATACGCAATTTGACGTCATAAACAACGATAAATCAACATGAACAATAGCGTCGCGAACAACAATAACAACGCTAAAACAATAACAGTGAATTAGAGAAACAAAATCAACAACTACAACAACTACTACAACAACAACAACACAACAACAACTACAGCAACTGCAACAACTACGACAACAACATCTACAACTACAACAACAACAGCAACGAAATTGACGATAATAATGACAAAAGAAAAACCAGTAGAACAGCAACACTAACAACTACAACAGAGAAAAATATATATCTCAGGTTGATATCAGATTTGATTGCAAATAATTTTACAATAGGGGTTAAGGGCTTCTTTGTTTGTCCGTTCGTTCGTTTTTTCGTTCGTTGTTTGTTGGTTTGTTTGTTTGTTTACAGAATAAAAAAATATCATATCCTAACATCAGGTTACCAGCACCATTAACTTTTCAACTCCAAATAACAGAAACAACAAAAACCATCTCTCTTTTAAATAGAACAGAAATAAAAACAAAAGAACAAAAAAACGAATAAACAAACAAACCAACAACACCAACAACAACAATAATAATAATAATATCTATATCTTTATTTTTTCCGTATTAATTTTATTTAAGACATCTCATAAATCACCAGAATTATGATTTTAGCAACGCAAATAGCCTGCCTTGTTTTATTGTTTTCTTTTTTGACAGTCTCACAACTAATGCAAGTGCTAATTTTTCTAGCATACAAAAAATATGCAGAAAAACATACAAAAACATAGAAGAAAATGCATAAAAAATATACAACAACATACAAAAATATACCAAAAAATACAAGAGAAAGTGAAAAAATACAAAAATATACATCAAAATACCGCAAAGTAAAAAAACTACAACAAAATACAAAAAATATTTACATATTGCATACTCACAGAGCTAATATCGAAGAAAAGGACTTCCTTGTAGAACGTAGGTATGTTGGTAAGGTAGGTGTATAGGCCCCAATCTGTGCTGAAGTTTGCAATGATGAGGGCCCAGACGGGGCCGGACGTGAAGAATTTTGCCCACGGGACTTTGCACAACTGTTTGAATGTTTGTTTGCATGTTTGTTTGTATTTTTGTTTGTGTGTGTGTGTGTTGATGTTTGTGTGTGTGTGTGTGTTTGTATGTGTTTGTTTGTTTGTTTGTGTTTGTTCGAATGTTTGTGTGTTTCTTTTGTGTGTGTTTGTTTGAATGTCTGTGTGTTTGTGTTGTGTTTGTATGTTCAACTCACATCAGTTTTAGCGGTACTGCCGCCCCCTATCTTGATGGAGTCAATGATGTACTTCTTCTCCTCTCTCGACATTTTTGGGTGTTGGGCTGGCGTGTTGCTGGTCACCAGACTCCATACAATTATGCAGACTGTAGACGACATACCTGTTTGT